ATGAATTAGATACTATAAATACCTTTAAGTATGTATACACTAGGTTCTGATTCCATATTCTACAATGGATTTTTCTCAGTTCAGTGGAAAAAGTAGCCAGTGTAATGAAATGATTATTTACTATTTTAATTGCAACATGCATGTTGTGATCTTGGCTTCATAAACAGTTAATTAACCATTGACTTAATTCTGGAACTCCTTAGTGTAGCTTCAAAGGAAGGCTATATCATTTTTCAAACATGTCACTTCTCTGCTGGTGAGTGAAATTGTTTCACACAGCATATGGCAGTAAGACCTTCCTTTTAGGAAGGCTAAGGTAATTTTTTTCCCATTTAATTACTCTTTTATGATAAAGAAAAGATGTGTAGACATACAAATAGATCACCCAAAGAGAAAATCAAACACACACACACACACACACACACACACATACTTTCACTCTCACACACAAGACATATACAATGTTATTCCAATGTATATTTTCTTGAGCTAAAGCTTCTTTAACAAAGATTTTGGATAACATATACAATATTTAGAGATGGTGGGTTGTTGCAAAATCAGATGATAGTAAGTTATAGTTTGTCATGCTCATTGCATCAGGGAGACAGGTTTGACTTAATCTTGAGTAGCTTGATTGGCATGAAATAAATCTTCAGAATAAAACTGAATTGACTGTCTATTTTTGCAAAAGCATTTCAAGAATGAAATTTGACATTTTCCCCCTCTCCCAGGGGTGACAGTTTACTGCTGGTTATCGTTGCTGTTTAATGAAACTTAGGCTTTCAAATAAAGAAACTAATTACTATATAATTTCAAGAGTTTTTCATTTTCTACTCCATTTCCTTCCTCCACATCCCACCCTGTATATGCAACATGGGAGAATAGAGTTACATTCATTTGTAATGAATAGAAACACATTCTGGCAATAAGGTATTTTCATAAAGTGCAAAAATAAGTAATAGAGAAGAAGTGTATATCATTCTCCTGGGAATCTAGGCTAGGGTCAAGTTCAGGGAAATAAGTGAGTAGCATGGCAGTCTGCCCCTCTGGGTTCCCATAGGACTTGCGACTAGCAGAAACCAAATATACCCTAGGTTTCTTTGAGCTGACAATTTAACTTCTAATTCTGGCTATTCATCATTGAAGAAAGAGGAACTCGGGGGAAATGTGATTTAAGGCCACAATTAACACAGTTCAACTTGTTGAACTGGCTCCTGACAATGTTGAAGTTTTCCTGAATGGTTGTTGTATGTCAATATAGTTCTTTCAGTAAAATAAAATAAAGGATTGGCTATTTTTTTTATTTTATTTTTCCTTCACAAACACTATCAAGATCTAAGGGTGTGTGTGCGCTGTACTTGTGTGTTTGGGCAAGTGGAAACAGTTTTTAATGAAGATGTAAAGATATGTTTTCATTAAGTAGATATATTGCAATGCAAATACTCTAAACCTTATTTAAAGATTTTCTTTACACAAAGAATACTTTGCTCAAATGCCACACCCACAAAAGTACTCAAATGTCATATCCACAAACTAAAAGGGTCTATTGAACACTCTTCCCAAATATCAAGTAATTAGAAATATTCTTTTTCTTATGAATGTGAAGTGGATGAAAGTGATTGGATTATTCTCATGTTTAGTTATTTCCAAACATATGGCAAGAGTCGCTTCATGTGAGGTTGGAATGAAACCTAAACCATGTTTAACCCTATTTCAAGAGAGCCTAGAATCTTTCATCTGCCTTGTAAGACAATCTTAAGAAGGCATGCTGGCAGTGTGTCTAAATAACAGTATGAGAATTTCTGATAAAAGGCTTAAGGATAACTTTTCCTTTGACTATGAACAATGTTTTATATTGAGTAATAGTTGAATAAAATATAATCTTCTAATGTTTTACAATGCAATTACAATTGGTTAGTCCTTTTGTGTATGTATCCTTTGTAAACACCTTTCAGAAATGTGTTCTCACTGTTACTCCACCTTTTTCTAATGAGAAATAATTAAATAAAGCAGCCAGGGCTGCAAAATTCTGTATTTCTTAGCCTTGTTTAGCTTTATCCTGATGGAGCTTTTGAAAAATTTCATTAGAGCAATGATTTTTTTTGTCACTGTAATCAAATATCTAATAGTATTTCTGTTCAAAAGTGCTTATGATTTTATAAATTTAGATCAACACTTGTAGAGACATGTGCCTAGTACAAGACTCTCCTCTTTATTTCAGATGCTTGCATCTGGTTGTGAACTGTTCAATGCTAAACACAGTAAATAAGCTGCAATTCTCTATTATGCACAAATCACTATACATTTTTGTTTTGAAACATTAAGCAACAGAACAATGTGCTTTTTCAAAGGGTACTTGCCATCTGCATTTTGCACTCCAAGTTGGCAACAGTGAGTATAAAAGGTAATATGATGATATTGAAAATGGGATTTGTCACAGGCCTCATAAGTTACCAAACGATCATCTGGTATTATGTCATTGCTGCTTGCATAGACCATCTTTAGAACAGTTGAGACCAGGAAAGAGATGTGTGCATGCAACTGGAGGAACAGAGGCAGCCCTCAAACGCAGCCTCAAACTCCCATTTTCTGGTTTTTGCACATTTTCCTTTTCCTTTTTCCTCCTTTGATTCTCGTTCTTTTTCTGTGATTTCCTTCCACTCCCTCCTTCTTCCTCAAACACAAAACTGCGTATGTGATTAGGAGGTTTGGAGGACAATCATCATGGCTCTATTTTCCACCCTGCCTTGAAGTCCTGGATCGTTGCTGGTAGTGATTTTACAGCTATATACTTACTCTAAAAGTGTTTATCGTCTTACTGCAACCAAAAATCTACATGTGAAAACAGCATCCACGAAATAAGTTTCATTGGGAGGAAAATTCCCCCTTGCATTTTACTGCTTCGTTTCCATCTCCTTGATAGTGAATGCTCTTCCTTTCGTCTCATCTTTGGAAAATAAAGATTGAAAACTTTGGCTTTTACTGTTGACATACATTACAAAAATAATTGAGAAGTGATTTTCAGTTTTCTTCCAAGCTTGAAGTTCTTCAGCCCATGATCAGCTGTAAGTTGTTTCCTTATTTTTTAATTTAATTCAATTTTATTTTATTTTAATATTTTTCCATACAAGCATACGGGTTTCAGGTGTACCTTTCTATGATACATGATCTGTATATTCAGCTATGTCATTTTTATTTTTTTAATTCATTAATAATTTAATAACTTTAAAGGACATTAGCCTATCAACATAGAAGTCTGAACACAGCTACTTTTTAAAGTCTTGTTTCTCTGTTATTAGAAAAGAACTTTGAAGAATATATTATCTTTCATAGTATGCAATGCAGGTAGCTCTGTTTTTTAAATTATGGTGTTATAAAGTTTTGTCACAGATAAAATTGGTGGAGTTGTATAGTGTTGAGATCATTTCTCAACTTTTTTAACACAGTCTTTCACTCTCCCAGCTGTCCCTCATCCTGCCAACAAGTCTACTTTGTCACTTTAAGGAAGAAAAGCCAGATTTTGCATCATTATACATCTTTGTTTTGCCATCTAAGTACTACCTACTGGCCCATATCTTTTTGATGTTCAAAGTCCAGTTTTTGAACTCAGAAATCTCCTGTTTTTTCCCTTCAACAATGTATACAACTTAAAAACTAGAAAATGTTTTAAGAACGCTATCTTGCTATGAGTTATAAGAAATGCATTTAGATTCTTAGGAAAAGTTCTTATTTTTACTGGATTATTTCTATCTCTTTATCCCTGTGGCAAACATGTGCTTCTTGAAGTAATAAAGATTTTTAATGCAATAGGTGGCGGTTTGTGAGGCAATGGCTAATGTCTGTGAATAAACAGCTTATGGATTTAGCATCATATCCCCTGTCCTATTAACATCATCTTAACCCAGAGAGGTAATGGAATCACCCTTCCTGCAAGTCTCTTTGCTGCTCATCCTGAAGAACAAAATCCTACAATTTAGACTGAGTGAGCTCTAAAAGTTTGATGGCAAAGAATTACTTAAATTCCAACTTCATTCTTCTTTATATTATACAGATAAATAACAATGTTTTTCAAACAAAATTTATTTTTATTACAAATAACCCATTAGGAAAAATAAAAATTATAGGCTCTTTCTATAGTGTATATTAAGTAAACATGCTTAATTGATTTGTCAAGTAAAATTTTAGTAAGAATATGATATTTAAAGATTATGAAGTCTTTATTGGATATTAATAAAGATTCGAATATTTCTCGAGGTTGGGACATAATTTCCAGGTGAAACTTCATCCAAAAGGATAGACTCTAAAGAATAATTTCACATTTTCACACTGATATTATTCTATTTACAAGTCCATAGAGTGAGTAATTAAGCATTTTCTAAGTTCTCATGCTTGTTAATGTAGAAATCTTAAATTCAGGTGAACAAAAGTCTTGGTTGCAAAAGTTTTCCAAGATCAAATACAGTAGGAATCCTACTTATATGCATCTCTTAATTGTATAGTATTAATGTAGGATATACATTAACCCCATTTATAAACCTGCATCTTATTAACTTTTCAGAATATTGCTGGAAAGTAACAAAAGTAACTAATTCGACTTGTATTTTATCACCTTTCTCTTTCTCTTTTATCAAATTATTAAAACAATGACAGCAGATAATAAATAAAAGAAAGTAATAATACACAAAATGAATGATAATTATTGAAAGCAAAACACAGGGGATCCAATTTATGAATTGCATGACATTTTAGCTCTTTATTATGATACTCTTTCTAGCTGTCACCTAGCAGAGGTGAATGCATGGCAGATCATGATTTTGTTCCTCCTCAAAGACACAGGCATTACGAAAGGCCTGAACAGCCTAGGAGATGCTTGGGATCATGTTTACTTCTCTGATGGATTTTGTTCCCTCCCTCACAGAACCACTCCCAACTATCTCATGGTTTTTCTGTCTTCAAACACTTCCATCTCTTTCCTTTTGGCGGGGGTGGGGGGGGGTGGGGGGGTGGGTACCATTTCCAGAAGTACTGCAATACCAGGTCGATGGGTGGAGTGGAAGGAGAAAACTCCTATTCCACCTCCCAGCTCCAAAAATCCATTTAATATAATGTCCTAGGATAAAGGACATGTCAGATATTAAACTGATGGGAACAGATACTACACTTGGTCTTAGCCAAAAAGCTGAGAAGTGATCCACATCTCTTCCCTTTACCATCATCAACATAATCTTTCTAAAGTAGATGTCAGAAAAAAATAAAATAGATGTGAGATGACTTCCCTACTTAAAAAAAAAAAGAATTTTTAACCTTCCCCATTAGCTATTGACTAAATTCCAAACTTCTTAGTTAAGGCATGTAAGAACTCTTTGAAATATTTACTTTGTACACATTTTCCATAAAGACTTCTGCAGTCCTTATTGGTTACAATAAATTAATAAATTTATCCTTTATTTAATTTTTCTTTTTAAATCTGTTTATTTATTTTATTGTATTTTTCTCCATTATCATCTATTCTCCCTCTACCCTCTTCCACCTCCACCCATCCCCCTCCACCCCACAATCACTACACTGTTGTCTATATGCATGAGTTCATTCTCTTTCTTTTCTACTTTGCTCAATCCCTCCCCCTCAACCCCTATAGAGCTGATGGTCTGCTCTCTATCTATGATTCAATTTGTGCTTATTCAAATATCATAATTTACTTTGTATTATAATCATTTCAGTTATTACATAGCATGTTCACTAAATATAACCTGTTTATGTACTTTTGAATTTGCCAAATTACATATTGAAGCTACTAATATATGATTGAATTTATATGTCTTTGTGTGTTTATGAGTACATCCCAGATGATGAAATGAAAAGTTTAATCTTTGCAATTTTGACTTGTAAACTTTTCTGTATTATTTCTCAGAATTGTATTCATTTATCAGTTTATAAATATTCATGTTTTATTTGTATCATTGACTAAAAAATTTTTTTGTCACTTATGATATAGTTTTTCCCCATAATAATGTAACAATCAATTTGTACAAATAAGAATTACCTACAGAAATTATAGAATTTAATTTCTCTTCTTAGTTTGTAAGGACTTGCACAGAATTTATTTATATATGACTAGTAATCCATGTCAAGCATTGAGCACCCAGCATGTACGACATATATTAGATTATATACAACATTTTTTCTTTACATATATAATTATATATAGAGATATTCTACTTTAATTATCCTAAAAATCTCAAAACAGATATTCACTTATAGATAATGAAATTGAGGCTTGGAGGAGATAAATAACTGGCCCAAGTCACAGAAGAGAACTTGAACCTCCATTTTTCTTGCTTTAAAGCTTGTGCTTTCTACCTTTGCATATCCTCTACTTTTATTATTTTCTGTTACTTCTTCCAATCTTCTTCCCTTGACACACATATATCACCCTTATTTTTAATCACTACTTTGAATTTCATTCCTTGTGGCTAAGTAATTAATTAAGAATGATCTTCTATGGAAACTTTGTGATACTCCTAGTGTACACAAAGCTGAAAATGATGGCTACTACCCCTTAGCACTATTTGTTGAGTGCTTACTGTATGCTAAGGTCTTTATATCCATTATATCTTAATTATTTCTTAGGAAATTGAGGATAAAAATATTACCTCAGTTTATAGATGAGAAAACAGAGGCTTTCTGTGATTTAGTCAGAGTTCAGGTTGCCACATACAGAAACTATTTTTTATCTGACTGACTAAAAAACCTTTACCTAACTTCTGTTAATTTTTTGTCCCCCTTTAAATTTGTTTCTTATCTGTTTTGTTTAATTTTAGCTTGGTTTCCCAAGATGAACTGCAAGCTCTTTTCCAAATTCTAGCTGCCTCAAGCAAATAAAGTAGAAATTGCACAATTGAAAAAAAAAAAACACCTAGTTAAAAATTCCTACTCATAGACACAATTCAGCAGAATTATCTAAATGCAGATAATTAAAAGTTGTAATTGTTGATCAGTTTTGATTCAATAAGATGAGAATGTATAGTTCTAGGACAAGAAGAGGGTAAGAATATATACTTCTGTTAGTCAATGCCCTAAAAACCCAGGTTTATTTTTTTCTCATCTTACATTCAGTGTGGATTGAGCAACTATCCTAAATGATTATCCTACAAATGGTGGTTCATGAATCTAGGCTCCTCCCATCTGTAACAATGGTATCTGGGACACAGGGCCATGAAAGTCACAGCAACAGAGGAAGAGAGAGGTGGAAGATGCCATGGGATGTTTCAGAGGGCCAGACTTGGAAGTGGCTTACATTACTTCCTCGCACATACATTTGGTTGTGACAAAGTATTGTGGCCTAACAAATTCTATTTGGTGAGCACTGTCTATGAAATTTTCTTTTTACCACTATAATAAATCATCATAATTTAGTGATTTAAACAATATAAATTTATCTTGCAATTCCAGATGTCAAAACTCTGAAGTGGATGTAAATAGTCTAAATAATGGGGTCAGGAGGACTGAGTTCCTTCTAGATACTCTAGAGGAGGATCCATATCTTTCCCTATCCCAACTTATAGAGGCTACCCAAATTCCTTGGCTTGTGGTTCCTTTCCTCCATCAGCATCAGGCCAGGTCCTCATACTACCATCTCTCTCTTCTGTCTTCCTCTCCCAGTTTAAGGACTCTGTGATTATATTAAGACTACAAAATAGCCTATGCTAATTTCCTTATTTTATGATATGTGGATAACCCCAATTTTATCTGCAATATTAATCTCCTTTGCCATGTAACTTAACATATTCACAGGTCCTGTGTGGAAAAGTGTGGAGTAGGGTGTGGACATCTCTGGGGATCTGTTATTTTGCCTACACTATAACATCATTTTGTCTTAAAATTATATGGTCTAAATATTCTGATGAAATGGTATATAAATGGTCATATTGGATAAAAGAGCAAGGCTCAAAATAAACTGTCTATAATAAATCCACTTGAAACATTAAACTATAAAAGGTTAACAATAGAAATAGAAATAGAAAATTATAGACCATTCCATATATGAAATAAAAGAGAGGACTATTTTAATATTAGACAAAGCATACGTGAAAATAGGCTATTAAAAGAATAAGAGATATTCCATGATAGTCGATTTGAAGAAGACATAAAATGTTTAAATATGTATAGGACTAATAATAGGGCTTCTAAATACATTAAATGTGATAGAACTAAAAGAAGAAACTGGCAAATCTATAGTTTTACATTCTCTTTGCAGTCTAATTGATAGGATAGAAAAAAACTGAAAAACTTCTCAAAGTACAGAAGATTTAAATGCCAGTATCAACCAAATTGTTCAAATCGACATTTATAGAAAACTCTATATACAAAAGCAGAATTCACATTCTTTCCAAGTGAATATAGAGCTTGTAAAAAGGTAGATCATATTCTGTACCATAAAACAAAACCTCAAAAGTGTTAAAAATTGAAATCCTACAAAGTATGTCCTATTAATACAATAGAATTAAACTATAAATCAAAAACAAGAAAGGGATCTGGAAAATTTCAAATGTTTAGCAAAGTCACAACATAAATCACCAGAGAAAGTATTTGTTCACTCTAAATAAGTGAAAATGCATGTCTATACACAGATGAGTACTCAAATGTTCACACCATTCATAGCAGCTTTACTTATTATAGCAAAAACTGAAAACAGACAATGTCCATCAGCTGGAACATATATAAACAATTCAATGGAAGCGTTACTCAGCAATAAGAAGAAATGAAGTGTTAACACATGCAACAACATGGATGGTTTTCAAAATCATTATGCTGAACCAAAGTAGCCAGATGCAAGATAATACATGTTGTATGATTCTACCTATATAAACTTTTAGAATGGAGAAAACTAATATATTATTTAAGACAGTAGATTAGATGTTCCCTGGGACTGGGTTGAGAAAGGGTTATGGCACTGAAGCATAAGAGAACGTTCTGTGGTCAGAGAAATGCTCTGTGCCTTGACTGTGGTGGTGGCTATGTAGGCGTGTAAATTTGCCAAAATTTATTGAGTCTTATGCTTAAAATGAGTGCATTTAATTACATGTAACTGTACCTCAATAAAGTTGATTTAAAGAAAGATTTAAAAAACGAAGTTACAGCATCTCTAAAATAACACTATGGATAAAATAGAAATTAAATTTTGCTTTATAAAATTATTTACATACAGACTTTTTAAAATAAACTGATACATAAAGACATGTATATAACAAAAAAATCTAAAGTTGCATCAAATTGGCAACACAACTAAGGAAGAATTGTCATTTTAAAAATCTCATTTTTATTATTGTTTACACTATGACAGTTGTCCCCAATTTTTCCCTTTTGCCCCCCTTTGCCCGGCCCTCTTAGAACAGAGGCCCCGCATCTCACAGGAGGCTCACAGAATCAGCGTGCAGTCAGAGGGCATATTCTGATATATATATTACTAACTAATATAGCTGGGAAGATAATTATGATAGTAAAATCATCCAGTAAATTTTAAATCAATGATGAAAGGGAGAGAAGGAAGGAGGGCAGGAGAGAGAGAGGGAGAGAGAGAGAATGTGGATATGTGTTTGTGGGATAAGAGGAGGTTGGAAACTATATACTTTGATCATTATTTTATTACAGATTCTACCATGAACTTGATGTTATGTCCTTTTCCCTATTTTCTGGTACAGAATATTTGTTTCAAATGCTTGGTTTACTTTTCAGCTTCTCCCAGAAGACCAAGAAGAAGATATTATTTTCCTTGAAATTTTTTCTCAACTGGCACTTGTAAATTTATTTGTACATGCATGGAGCTTTGTTTTGCTATTGACCTGCTACTTAGTCTACAGACCTGCTTAATGGACTGGGAGTTTCAGCAACTTTTAGCTTAACCCACCCATGGCAAATTGAAAGCCTTTCTTGTCCCCCTGAACCGGTTGCTTATATTCATGAGGGCCCTTCTGATGTTTGCTAAGAAAAGAAAATGATTACTTCTTTTAGAAGGAAACTTGATTATATGTGAAAACAGCAGGCACTTTGGAGGATATCTTTAGATTCCATGGAGCCATGAGAGAAACAAAGTATGTGGGGGCCAGTAACTTAAAATTGCTCAGCAGTGAGGTAGATACTGAGCCTCCATTCCTTTACCTTTGTTGCCATGTGTTCACTGGGGGCTATTTT